CCCCGCCGTTACCCAGCAGGCCGTGCGCCGATCCAGCGCGTGCCCCTTGGCGCGAAGGCAGCTCCCTGTCCTCGAGCAGGCGCGGCGAAGCTCCGCCCCCGGGTGTGATCACAACGAGGCTCTTCTCCTCCCCGGAGCACCGCAACGAGGCTTCCCGAGTCACGCCTCCCAGGGCGGGGCCGCGAGGGCGGGGCCTGCCCTGCTCCCTCTGCACAGCGATTCGCGCGCGCCGGGCTTGTGCGCGCAGGGCATGCTGGGAGTGGAGGGGGCGGAGGGGGCAACTGGTGGGAGTACCCTAAGGCTGCAGGGTGGATGCTGACAGCACTGCTGCAGTGCATGCTGGGACAGCAGCTGAGGGCAGGCACAGTGCATGCTGGGAACATGGCTCAGGGAGGGAGTCATGGATGCTGGGGCAGCAGTTGAAGTGGAGGAGCAGTGCATGCTGGGAACAGGGCTAAGCATGAAGCAGTGCATGCTGGGAACATGGCTAAGTGTGGAGCAGTGCATGCTGGGACGGTTGAGAGTGCAGCCAAGCAGGGAGGGGTGTATGTTCACGAGCTATGGGGTGCCCTGCTTGGACTATGCTGCCTGGCCGGCTGGGCACTCCAGTACCAGCACATGCTTTTGCTCTGAAACACAACTGGCTAAAAATGGCCCCTCTTTAGCTGACCATGTCTGTAGTGAAATCAGCGCTGTGATCACAGTGACAAAAATGAGGTTTTCTACATTTTGCTCCTCTTAACTCCGCAGAGCCTCTCCAGCTACAGGATGGAGAGTTTGGGTCTATTCTGTGCCATCACTTATTTATTGGTTTTAGCATAGTGTCCAGGAACCCTAGTCATGGATAAGGAGCTGTTGCGCGAGGTGCTATATATTGACCAAATAAATGCAGCATTAACAGAATCAGTATATGGCCTTTATATCAGGGGTTGGCAAAAGGGCCTCCAAGAGGGTGGATCCTGCCTGCAGAGGCCCTGCGGTTCCCCTGCTCCTAGGCCAATCAGGGCCTGGGGAGGGGAGTGCACGAAGTTTCCTTTGCCCTGGTCCTGCACTGTGAGGAGGATGTAGCACTTAGAAGTGCCACACTCTCCTGGCAGGGTGGGAGGAGACTGCGTGCTCCCCCAACCCCAGTTTCTGATTGGCCTGGGGGTGGGGGAGTGTGAGAAGTCTCCTCCCAGCCAGGGGCATGGGCATCTAAAGGGAAGAGGTGCTCTGCCCCCCCCACAGCAGTCATGATCTGGAGGTGGGGTGGGGAACCCAGAAGCATCCTGGCCCTGCCGCTTCCGGAGCAGCCTGGGGCCACTTCAGAAATTTTTGAAGTGCCCCATGACAAAAAAAATATTGCCCACCCCTGCTCTATATAAATCTCTTCTACAGCCACATTGTGAATACTGTGTGCAGATGTGCTCCATCGCAAAAGAGATATAGCAATTGGGAAAGGTGCAGAAAAGGGCAACAAAATGATTATTGGTGTGAAACTGCTCTCATATCAGAAGAGACTAATAAGGCTTGGACTTTTCAGCATGAAAAAGAGATGAATGAGGGGATATGACAAACTGCTATAAATCCATGACTGGTATGGAGAAAGTAAATACGGAAGTGTTAATCCTTTGCACAATACAAGAACTAGGGGTCACCGAATGAAATTATTGGCAGCAGGTTTAAAACAAACAAAAGGAAGTATTTCTTCATATAACAGTCAGCCAGACGAATGCTTTACCAGAGATTTTGTGAAGGCCAAAACTATAACAGGGTTTAAAAAACTAGATGGGCTCATTAATGGTTATTAATGAGGATGGGCAGGGATGCAAAACCATGCTCTGACATTGAGTCATCCCATCCATAGGATGGGTAGGGGGACCCATAGTGGCCACTTATACTACGGATGGTCTCAGGGCATCTGGGAGATTACCTGTGGGAGGGGCCTGGTGCCAGGCAGCACCAGGCGTTGCCACCCCCACTCTCATCATGATGATGAGAGTCAGAATGACTGACCAACTTTGCTCTGCTGACTTCTCCCAGCCCACTGTGCTCAGCTTCACTGCACCCCGGCTCTTCCTGCCACTGCAGAGAAGCAGAGCACAGCGGGGGAGGGGGGGCATGGAGCAGAGCAGGCTGCCAGGCCCCCTGGGTCCCACTGCTGCAGTAAGTGTGGGGGGCTGACAGCTGTTGCTGCCCCAGGTCAGGCCTCCTCTCCCAGATATCCCCCCAGCTTGCATTGCTCAGAGGATTGGGGAAGAGGTGGGTCACGGGGGAAGGAACAGGATGGCTGTGTCTAGACTGGCCAGTTTTTCTGGAAAATCAGCCGCTTTTCCAGAAAAACTTGCCAGCTGTCTACACTGGCCGCTTAAATTTCTGCAAAAGCACTGACTTCCTACTGTAAGAAATCAGTGCTTCTTGTGGAAATACTATTCTGCTCCCGTTCAGGCAAAAGTCCCTTTTGCGCAAAGCATTTGCGCAAAAGGGCCAGTGTAGACAGCTCAGATTTGTTTTGCACAAAAAAGCCCCAATCGCCATTTTCATGATTGGGGCTTTTTTGCGGAAAAGCGCGTCTAGATTGGCACGGACGCTTTTCTGCAAAAAGTGCTTTTGCGGAAAAGCGTCCGTGCCAGTCTAGACGCTCTGTTCCGAAAATGCTTTTAACGGAAAACTTTTCTGTTAAAAGCATTTCCGGAAAATCATGCCAATCTAGACGCAGCCGATGGGAGCCGGGGTGGAGCCTCTGGCAGGGGTGTGTGTTTGCCTTGGGCCCCACTCCTGGGTCACTGGCAAGTGGGATTCCCCAAGTCCTGCGCTCCTCTAAGGACAGCCCTTACCTCTATTTGCGAAAAGCTGGGAATGGGTGACAAGGGATGTAGCACTTGTTCATTCTCTCTGAAGTATGTGGTGTTGGCCCTGAGGGAAGACCAAATGCTGGGCTAGATGGACCATTGATCTGACCCAGCATGGCCGTTCTTATGTTCTGATTGCTCATAAACTTAATCAGTAACTACTGTGCCAGCTAAGTGCATGTGTCATTTAAATTGACCCTCAGAGCAGTTATTACAGGCAATGCATGAGGACAGAAGCTCAGCTTGACTCTTTGATCCTGGCATTGGTTTGCAGGGTGAGTAGGAGAAAATGTCTACTTGCTTGCAGCATGAGCTCATTTACTATGGCATCTCAGAGCGATGATGGGCATGCCCCCCCCCCCATGGCATTTAGACCGTCTCCATTTTCAGAGTGAAAAGCATTTAATTCCTGCAGCGTGGGCCATATGATGTAAATTAGTTCCTTTCTGCTGGCTCTGCTCATATCTTCTGTAGCTTTGTTTAAAGCTTCCATGGAAAATGTGAAGTTCCCCAACTACTGTCTGCAGGCTTATTACTACCCTTTCTATGCAGGCTGTGCATGGAGCATCTTCCCCACGTCTCCCTGAGACGCATCTAAATACCGACATTCCATTTTCAGTCTGTAAGCTGCAGTAATCGCAATGAAATTGTTCATACTGATCTTCCCTGACCCATAAATGTTATTTGTTCGGATCCCAACCAGATTGAAATTTCTATAGAAGGAGATATAGGGCCTCCTAAACAAACACACCGATGTCAGGCTTCATTACCTTCAGTAATGGCTGTCTCCAAGCAGTGGAGCAGTGCCTGACAAATCTGCTCCACTGAGCACTCAGCAAACAAGCCCAATGAGTGTTCAACAGCCCAGAAAAGAGTGACACGAGCTCTGTCTTTCATTAGAGGTTAAAGTATTGGGCTTGATTCTGATCACACTTATACGGGCATGAATCAAGTATAGCACCTCAGAAGTTAGCTGAATTAGATGCACTCTCTCATTTTCATTGAGCTCCCCGCTTAATTTTTTAATTAAATTATTTTCTAGGTAGCTGTCGTGAGATACGAAAAGCCAAGGCCTGGTGCATGTGAAGCATTGACTCAGCTGGGGTCATGTCTTGGGACATTACAGCTGTAATCACAGCACCCACATTGCAAAGGGGTTGCTGAGCACCCCACATCTTGCCCAACTGAAGCCAGGGAGGGTCCAGCATTTTGAATGTTATTAGAATTTGACCAGGGGATGGCCAATCTCTTTCCATTTGGGTGCCTTGAAAGAACCTGCTCATCCCTATTTAGGTACCTGAATAACACTCTGATTTTTCAGAATTGCTGAAATCAGCAGGAGCCCAATGTCTCTGAATATTCAAGGAGCCCAGATCCGGAGCTAGATACCTGATATTAGATGCCCCCTTTGAAAGCTTTGGCCATAGTTTTTCCCCTCAATGCTGGAGTCTAGCTGGTGGCTCTGTGGTGTTCAGCCCTCTTTCCTACATGTCCGCTGTGTGGCTCTGAGTTTGGAACACCAAATTGCATGTGTAGGACCGGCTGTTGGGGCACCATTCCCTCTTGGCATGAAACAAGCTGGTGATCACAATGGCGGAAGTGGCCACCAACCCTCTTCAACTGTTAGCAAAGGGCAACCCCCCTGAAAATGTGGTTCTGTGTTGCTGCGTGATGTGTGATTTATCTCTTAGCACCCTGGCTGTGCACTGAGGTCCCTGCCTCAAAGAGGTCACATTCTGTGGAAAAGACCAAGGGTGTATGTGAGTGAGATCAGATAGTCAGGTGTGTGGCTTTGCGCTGGGGCCCCTGCTCTGCCAAACGGGAGCAGCTGGAGGAAGGATTTGAAGGAAAGCAGAGTGGGCTTTCATGATGAGTTCAGGAAGGACATTCTGTGCATAAGGACCGCGCAGAAGACGATGCTAAATTCATCCATTGTTCCATGTAAGACAATCTGAGTACTGTGCTGAGTTGTCTAGCACAGTGATTGTCACCTTTCTAGGCCTTTGTCTCCTTGCAGGAGTCTGATTTATCTTGCATACCCCACATTTCACCTCCCTTGAAAAATGACTTTCTTATAAAATTAGACAAATATGAAAGTGTCACAGCACACTAGGATAGGTTGCACCTCTAAAATCCAAGATTCTCTGGTCTGGCAACATCTGTGGTCTAGCATGACCATGGATGTTCCAGGATCAGAGAGTCCTGGCATGCTGCAGGAGGATGTGGGCTGGGAGATGACGCATGGCTGAGCTGGGCTGCGAGGGGGAAACCAGGAGCTGGCATGTGGCTCATCTGGGCTGCAGGGGGAGCCAGGAAGCCCATTGTGTGTGGGGGAGTCAGTAAGGGGAGACCAACAGCAGGGGGCCTGAAATGACCTTTCCTGGTCCAGAAAAATGCCTCATCCAGGACCAGTCAGGTCCCGAGGGTGCCGGACCAGGGACGTCCAACCTGTACCGGC